TTTTTTTTTTTTGTTTTTTTTTTTTTTTTTTTTTTTTTCGTTTTTTTTTTTTTTATTAGTTGTTTTAGTACTTCAGTTTAAACTAAAACAAAAAATGAGAAGTGTTGCATTGGCAACTAGCTGAAACAAAATGCATTTAATTTTTAAAAATATTATATTTTATGGTTTTAGCTTTAGTTAACAACAATTTTATTTCATTTCAACTTGCAAAAATGATTTTATTTATTTAAGTTTTAGTTATTGATAATAACCCTGTTCTGTGGTTTGACATTTTTGCTCTTGCTCTCATAACACGATTTGTGATCGAATAAATGTAATATGTCATATGTGGAGGAGGGTCACTGCTGGTTTGACCTTTGATTGTGCCCTTTGTAATGTGTCAGCCAAATAACATGACTTATATAAAACTGTCCTAGCGAAACATAAAACCCAGACCTGGGAGAGATGGAAATTTGTTTTATTTTATCTCATTTGTCTCCACTGATCTCATTTCACATGAAAATAATTCACAGAAGTCTTAAAGGCACAGCAGCAAAAACGGACTGAGAGAGGATGGACAGTGATCATGAAAAACTAAATTACAGCTTGGTGTAAGAAACCTTGACTAACACATTATATGTGGACTCTTTAAAGCCTACCTTCGAGTCCTAATGGTGTCGGCATTGTTTATGTGCTTTGGGCTAATAGTGTCAGCTCTGTGTTGGCATACAGTGACCAAAAATGTGTTCAGAGCATCTCCACGTTGAAATGTCTCGTACTTTCGCACAGAATCATCCTCTACTGTTTTCCACAGGAGAATCTGAGTCTGCTGTGGCTCTACAGCTCATCTTTATGGGGTTTTGAGTGTAAGATGAGACGAGCCACTCCGCCTTCACAAAGCGTCTCCCTCTGTGCTCGTTCCCATGAGGGTTTACTGTTACCGCACCGTAAAGCCTTTTATTTCCAAAACTACATAACGACGCCACCGTTTGGGCTCAGCTGCAGGGGGAAATGACTTAAGATAAAATGACAGAACTAAACATGCATGACAAGTGAATACGAGGAGGTTCTGTTGTCCTGTGCTTTGTGTTTTAAAAGTAAATCAGTGAAAAAATCACAGTTATTATAGCAAAAAAAAATTGTCCTTTATTTATCTCACCTGTAAATTCATTACTCTGTAAATTCATAAATAGAAAACAAACATGCATGTGCAAAAGGCATTAATTGTCTGGAAAATACTGTCACAATGCAAAAAAACTGGTTTTATTTTCCTTATGCAAAATTAAATTTACTATTTCTTTCTTTTGAAGTTTTTATTTCAGTTTTAATTTTTATTTCCAGATAGTAATTGTTGTTGTTTTATTTTATACGTTTTTTTAGTATTATCTATATGATATACTATCATAGTTTATTGTCATGTGTTTTATAATTTTGTCCGTTTTTTTTACTATTTAGGATTTATTTCTGTTTTAGTTTTAGTTTTTAAAATTTATTTCCAGTTAGTAATTTTAGTTTTTAATATTATATATAAAATTTATTTCAGTTATTTTAGTATCATTGATATGCTATTGTAGTTTTTGTTAATATTCTGAATTATATTTTATTTTTATATTTTCATATTTTCTGGGAAATTACCTAAAATGACAAAACTAAACATGTTTGACAAGTGAATATAAGGAAGTTCTGTTATCCTGTTCTAAAACAGTAAATTTTATAGCAAAAAATATATATTTTCCTTTATTTATCTCACCTGTAAATTCATTACTCTGTAAATTCATAAATAGAAAACTAATGTGCATGTGCAAAAGGCATTAATTGTCAGGAAAATAATAACAGGTTTAATTTTCCTTACGCAAAATGTAATTTCCTATTTGTTTCTTTTGATTTTGGGGTGAAATAAGCCCTGCATGTGTTCTTGACAGCTTTGGTGAGATTCGTCTAATTGTCAGGTGTAATAATAGACTGCAGCTGTACTGCCGCATCTATAGATTCTAGAGGATTCTGCTCGACTCAGCTGCTCTCTGAAATGTTGTGTCTCGCTCTGATTGGACAGAACCTGCGTAAGATGGAGGGGGATGCCGTTGACAAACCTGGCAGGGAGCTAAACGAGCTGCAGAATGCTGATTGGGTAAGTGACCTGCCAATCAAAGAATGGAGACGTTTGATTGGCTCTATTTGTTCCTCATCCAATTGAGTTTAAAATACTCTTTTTAATTAATATTATCGATTTGACTGCACTGACACATCAGATGAGAACAAAACTTGAGCTGAGCTGGATGATGACACTATTGTCTTCTGTAGAGCTGCTTTATAGCTGAACTGAGTGTGTTTCATAATTCAACCTTGCAACATTGACAACTTAAATGAGCTGAATAATGACACTGTTGTCTTCTGCAGAGCTGATTTGATGAATTTTGCAACATTAACACTTATTTTCCTGTTTATTATTGTGAAGCTGCTTTGAAACAATCTGTATACAATCTGTGTCATTATAGATAAATGTAACTTGACTTCCAAGAGCAAATGATCTGAGCTGCTGTCCACATTATAAACAACCAACGCATTTATTTTAATTTCTCCAGTGTAATTCTGGGAGAAGCAGTTATCAGGGAACTTTGGCTAACGTTCTGGCAAGGTTCTCTCAAAGTTATGAACAAATGTTCTTTCAAAGAATGTTCATTTAAAGTTATTTGGTCTTTAATAATGTTCTGGCTCAAAAACGTATACATTCATAGAACTTTTTTCTGAAATGTTTCAGTTGAATGTAAGTGTAACATTTTTTAAATGTTTCTAGTTCTTTCAGAATGTTCAGGGAATATTTAAAAGTAACGTTCCCATAATGTTTGCAAAATGATAGAATGGAATGTTCCTGTAATGAAGGTTTTAAAACCCTTTAAATACGAGTTGTTTTGAACATCAAAAATGTTTTCATAATGTAATGAGTACATTAGCAAAAATTCTTAGAACACATTTTGGTTAGTTGGGATGATTTTACTTAAATAGAAACATAAATGAGAACGATAAGATTTGATCAAGTTCATGCATTCCCTGGGAATGTTATGATGGATGTTATGTTGAAAAAGCCCTGGAATGTTCTGGAATAGTCTCTCTAATGTATTGGCGCGTGTGTGCTGCGGTCAGGCGTGGCTCTGGGTGCAGATGATGCGAGATCTGAGGAACGGCGTGAAGCTGAAGAAGGTACAGGAGCGGCAGTATAACCCGCTGCCAATCGAGTTCCAGCTCACGCCATACGAGATGCTCATGGACGACATCCGCTCCAAACGCTACAAGCTACGCAAGGTCATGGTGAGTTGCCCTGACGCTTATGGATCTGTTTAGAAGAAGAGTTTATTTCAATCTTAATTTGTAAGAACATATTTCATTTACATTTGCTTTTATGCATTTGACAGACGTTTTTGTGACTTACATTGCATTGCATCATTTTATTAAGTTCATGCCTTCCCTAGAAACTGAACCCATGACCTCATGCCTTGCTCTACTTTTCTAAAATATTGCACAAAAATGGGTTTGTGGCATCAAATTAGTATGTGTCACGATGTGGGTAGATGAGGCACACAGCGAAGGGGTAATCCAAAGGTGAGTCTTTTATTAACAAACCAAGAGGGTAACACTGACGAGCATAGGATAAAAACTCCACAACGTAACTTTAAAGCAAGACAAAGGAAGCCACAGCCGGCGGGCTTGACTTCGTAGCGGCCGGCGACCTAGGAACCAGAACCAACCGCCTTCTCCTCCTCAGATTCCCCTCTAGGCTCGGGGTGAAAGGTCCGGCTGGCGGGCTTGCCGTTGCGGTGACCGGCGGGCTTGGGTCAATGGCAGGCTCGTCTTCGGAGCGGCGAAACGTGCGGCAGCTTCCATGCCGCGGGGAAAAAACAGGAAAACAAAAACTATCAAAAAGGCGGAACTCAAACACGGGGAAAAAGACGCCGCTCACTTTCCGTTTTTGCAGAGTTTTGATTCATCAGGTAAAGCCGTGATGTGATGCATTAATGCCGTCTGTGATGATTTAGAGCTTAGTCTGCTGTCATTTCATCTGTATTCATTGTTCATTTGAGGGTCCTTTAAATTTGTAAATGAAGATTTAATACTCAATTTTTTTTATTTTTATAAGCCCTCAAATAAATAAAGTCTCTCAGGGTTCAATAATGGGTTCAGTAATATTATAAAATACATTATATTATATTATATATAATATAAAGTAATCAATAATAAGTTTTTAGACCCTCAAATGAAATGTGACCAATTTAAAATCCATTTTGATGTCGTCTTGCTAACACTGATTATTATTATTATTATTATTATTATTTGATTGATGATCACAGAAACATGCCCAAGGGAAAGTAGATCGATTATGCAACTCAATAAATACAGGATTATTGATTCACATGAAGGTTAACACATGTGAAGTTGTGATTTACTCGTGTGATGTGTTGACTGACCCCATACGCAAATGTAGTATATTTCCATATATTGAATTTCCATATATTAAATATATTGTCATATGAAGTAAATACATATATGAAAACCTATTAGAAACTGGAACACTTTCATATTAACATACATATTTGTGTGAGCTAGATATATATGTTTATGTATGTGTTATATATTTTTGGACATATATGTCATGTACATATATATCCATCCTAAAATCCGTCAATACATGTTGATATTATATAAGTAAATATAATAAGTAAAAGATAGACATGTATTTAAAAAATGTATTACAAAACATATATAAACATATGGATTGTTTTGTATATAAGTATGTTGTTTTAATAATGTTGCATATATGTGACCCTGGACCACAAAACCAAAAAAACTTTTTTTGAAATTGAGATTTATACACCAAAAAAATCAAAATATTGAGAAAATCGCCTTTAAAGTTGTCCAAATGAAGTTCTTAGCAATGCATATTACTAATCAAAAATTAAGTTTTGAGATATTTACAGTAGGAAATTTACAAAATATCTTCATGAAACATGATCTTTACTTAATATCCTAATGATTTTTGGAATAAATGAAAAATCTATAATTTTGACCCATACAATGTATTGTTGGCTATTGCTACAAATATACCCCAGCGACTGCTTTTGTGCTCCAGGCTCACATATAAATAAAATATACTTTGTTGACATATGGTTGCTACATATAATCATTATATAGATATTACGTACATATACAGATTTAACTTTGGGGATTTTATATATGTTATAAAATTATATCTTCATCTATTCAGAGAATGTACGACATACGTATGTAAAAATTATAAATCACCTTATAGGTAACATATATGGCAATATCACTCTTGATATAGGGCAATACATGTCATATATTACATTTCCGTATGGGATCAGTAAAAAGCTGACATTCAGAAGCTTATTTCATATTTACACTATTTCATGTTTCATATCGCTAAAATAACTGTCTTGTGATGTGTAATTACTCAAGTTGTTATAAGATGTAATGCATGCTGATCTGAGAGCAGCTCACAGCAGATGTTTATAGAAAGAGTCACACAAAAAGGTTTCTCATCTAAGAGAATTGAATCAGGATTTTCAGGATCCACAGACAGAGGAAAGCTTGTGTTCTTCAGTAGCGGCTGGGCTTTAAAGTTTTATAGCAGCACTATGGTACAGCAGCTTCACATAGGGTTTGGACACTTCAGTCACACTTCAGATATCTGAATGTCTTTGCATTAGTAACAAAATGTCAAAGCAGCTGTTATGTGTTTTAAGGAAAGAATAGCACACGTTTAGAAAAGTGCATCGTTTGCTTTTATATGTGACTCACTGTACCGAGTGATTACTATATTTATAACCCATGGTATTTACATGCTAAAGTACAACCATTGTACCAAAAAATCATGAAAGTATCAGTGTTTGTTATGCCATTTTATCAATACCGCCTTATACACACTTTATAATGTGCCAAATTCACTCAAATGCTCACATTGGGTCTAAAAGTCTGAGACCATGTGGAAATGCAGTTTTTATTTAATTGGAATTGTAAATTAAGAAAAGTTACAACGTCAAATGAATCATAATTCATTCAGATTGTGCTCTAATCATTGATCATGTGACTCTTTGTATAGATGGTCAGATTTTCCTTCACTGAAGCTCTTTGGAGAACATGATCATCAGGTTTATGCTCATGTAGCTCCAGTGAGACACAAATAGAAATGCATCATTTTCACTAGTGGTCTCAGAGGTTTGGACCCCACTGTAAGCGATATAGTGTTTGATATTCTGTCTTTACGTCACACATGCTCTCATCTGTGCTGACGTTTCATGTGCTCGTGTTTGTTCTGTGTCTGTGTGCAGATTGTGCTGATTATAGTTTCTATTGACTCTGGTAGCGCTGTATTTTAGGACCTGATCAAGTCTATTTTGTACACCTCACATTTTATTCTGAAATAGTAGAAATGCAAAACTATGCAAAACAACAACAACAAAACAGACATAAAAATCTAAAAAGTAAGATTCCTTGTAATGTCTGACGGTTGTGTAAAGTACTGTAAAAAGTGTTTTAATGCACTTATCAAAATTTTTTTTTTAAACTGTCAAATGTCAAAAGTTTTTTAATGATGAAAAGAAGTTTTCAACATGTATCATTTAACATAACATCTGTGGAAAAATGTGTTCAAATAGTCTGTTTAATGTCAAATGTAAGTTTAAAAACAACGATTTTTCACAAAATCTGTAATTTTCTGTTTGGATGTAGCAGAAAACTTCTGGCTCATGTTTGCATTTTCACTCTCACTGGCCATAACTCAAACCTTGAAATCAGGATTAGCCTTAAAATAATGTCATACATGCTGAGAATTGAACAAATCCTTGTGATCCGGCTCAGAATCGTGACTTTGTGTCAGTTTTTCTGCTGATTAAGGGAGAACACAAGACTTCTTCACCAACAGATGCTTTTAAAAAAACAAAAATGCTACAAAATGCATCATATTTTGTGAGAAAGTGTGACGTGAAAGAGTAAAAGCCACTATTTTTGGAATCAGCACCTCAAAATGAGTAAGAAACAAGTACTGGGTTTCATTCTGCAAATATGTGACCCTGGAACACAAAAGCAGTCTTAAGTCGCTGGGGTATATTTGTAGCAATAGCCAAAAATAAATTGTATGGGTCAAAATTATTGATTTTTCTTTTATGCCAAAAATCATTAGGATGCACCCTCAGATTCCAGATTTTCAAATAGTTGTCTCTCGGCCAAATATCGTTCTATCCTAACAAACCATACATCAATGAAGCTTATTTATTCAGCTTTCAGATGATGTATAAATCTCAATTTCACAAAATTGACCCTTATGGCTGATTTTGTGATCCTGGGTCACATATGATGCAGGATGGTGTTATTTCTGTCAAAATAAATACCATTTTTTGTAAAACATACTTAATTTTCTTTGTATCTCTTTTTGCTCTTCATGTACATGTTCTGTGCTGTTTTCTACAGACGTGTCCTCCTTGGATGGGGCGAGGAAGGCCTCCAGCACGCTGTTGTTGGCCAATGGCGTGTCGCTGCAGCAGAAAGGCTCCGGCGGCTTTCAGAGGAAAAGGCTTCAAGCACCGACTCTGGCTGAACTGGACAGCTCTGATTCAGACGTGAGGACTGTTATACACATCGTTTTTGGCCATATACTCGTTCTGTAAGCCAGTTATCTTCAGTGATGTGTCATCTCGTTCAGGACGAGACCTTAGGTCAAAGGTCAGCCAGCTGCTCTAGCATCTCCACATCCATGGTGGACGACACGTCGCCAGAATCCGTCCTGAGCAAGAAAAGTGAGTCATTTCTGATGCACACTTATTTATTTTTATTTTTAAAAATTAGATTTTAATACACAGCTCTAAAAATATTTTAGTGTAAAATTTAGTGTAATTGGTTAATCATAGCATTAGTCATATATATTTTTATAATGGTGCTAAACTGTATATTTGACTATTGTTCATGGTAACTAGTCTCCTAAACTCATAGTTTCATGTCCCATATTCTGTGTTATTATTGTTTAGTAAAACTAAAATTATAAAAAATAAATAAATAAAATAAAATAATATTATTGTCACGACACGGTGTGTGGAGGCAGGCAGGATGACGAGGACGACAAAGATTCCAATAATGACTTTTAATGTAGACACAACAAGGCAGATCCAGACAGGTGAGACACACACACTCGGGGTAACATTCACAATAACCGACCAACTGGAACACAATGGACAGGAACTGATATAGGGTGGATAATTAGTGGCAGACAGGTGAGCACAATGAGGGTAATTAACTAATGATAGTACGGGCTAAACCAACAAAAGGGGAAGAAACCACAATAAACAGTCCACAGGGGCGTTACATT